CAGATTTCAGAAAGAGCAGGAATAATGCCAGAGTCAGGCCTTAAGGAGACTGAAGTAGAATGCCATTTAGATGCTAAGACAGTTTTAGAAAGGTAGGAAATGGGATTTCTGGGTCTTCCAGAACGCCATTGGCAGTCCATGTAGTCTCTGCAAATTGACTTCTCTGGGCATGTCTGGTTGTCATCCCGCTGGCTTTCCCTCCTTAACTCATGGTCTTTCTTTTAACATCTGTCCGCACGTTTGCTCTGCTCCTTCCCTACTCATCTTGCTCATGTTGCTCACAGTCCCATTCTACTTCGCTTGCATATTCTTATCAATTCTAACTACAAACTGCCCCATTCTCCTAGTGTTTCTTTTTTTTTTTTTTTTTTTTTTTTTTGGAGAGATTTTCACTGTAGGGCGCGTGCGCTCGCCAGACAGACAGAGAGAGACATAGAGACAGAAAGCGAGAAATCACCCCCCAGGGGGGATGGTCACGCCGCAATCCCTTCTCCTCCATTCTCCTCTCGGGATCTTGGGCACGCACGCACACGCGCCCGGCGTGAGTTTTAAGCCACCGGGTCCGAGACACGAACCGCGGTCGACTACGTGGGAGTCCAGCGACATAGCCATTACGCTAACTGCTGGTTCCTCCTAGTGTTTCTTAATTCCATTTAATTTCTGAGAATTAGACTGCTGCAGCCTTCACCTTGTTTGGAAAGGCGTTTCCTGCCAGAATATGTCACGGGCTACTAATCAGCCATAAGTTTCAGCTGCCCTTGAGTTAGGCGTCAGGTCTAGTTAACCCAGGAGAGTTGTAGGTGCATTAGTTCTTTTAGGAGTGAAGAAAAACATGGCAGGCATAGTGACTGGCATGTTGGCTGTGACTGACAAGAATGAAAACTGATCTCCTTAGGGCCAGCGGATGGTGTAATGGTTATGTCTCTGGACTCCCACGTAGTCGATCATGGTTCAAATACCAGACCTGGCAGCTTAAACACACGCCAGGCGCGTGCACTTGCATGCCCAAAATCCCGAGAGGAGAATGGAGGAGAAGGGATTGCAGCATGGCCATTCTCCCTAAGAGGGGTGATTTTTCGCTTTCTGTCTCTCTTTCTTTGTCTCTCAGGCGAACACACACACCCTACAGCAAAAATCTCTCACAAGGAAAGAAAGAAAATTGATTTCCTGTCACTACCAGGTTAGCAGTAGAAAGGGGAAATCACAAAATGGCAGTGGCCCACAGTAGCCGATGCGTAGAGTGGGGAGAAAGCAGTTCTAGTTAGAGACACAAAGATTTTTGGTCGGGAATTTAGAGTGTTTGGAGAATGAGCTCTGAGCCCACAATAAGACATCTGAGAACAAATAGCTTCTTATAAAGGGATTAGCAGAGATCTCCAGAGATGCTCTTTTCTCTTCTTTAGTTCTGAGTTTCATGAAAATGTGTACACTCTCACTGATAAGTGAGATTTACTTCTAGCCCTGGTCTAGAATCGAGAATACAATATGACAGATTTCTCTCTCAAACTTATTTTTTAAAGATATTTTAATTATGTAAATAACATATAAATATATTCTCACTATGAAAAATTTCAAGCAGTACACATAAACCAAAGTCTACCTTAACTCTACTTCCCAAATCTTACTTTTTCTTCCTCAGCGTGATTTCTGCGTAGCCAAGTGGACCCATTTCTATGTATACACAAGAGTTCCACTTTATTTAATTTATTTCATATGTGCTATAGGGCACGTGTGCTTACCACCAGTGAGAAATAGAGAAGAGAGAGAGAGAGAGAAAATGAGAAAGTAAGCTACCAGGTCTGGGACTCCAACCATGGTCAGCCATGTGGGAGTCCAATGCCTTAACTACCATACTCCTGCTGCCCCCCCCCACTTTATTGTTTTATAAAAATGAACAGCCATATTCAGTACTTTGCAATGTAGAACCATTTCAACCAAAGTTATGTAGGTAAGGATTTTTACCTACAGAAATATCTGCAGCCAATTCCCTCTCACAGATTCTGAATGCCAGCAAAGGCTATTTTAACAGCAGATTCCAGGAAGGTTGAAGCCAAAGGGATCATTTGGTCCAAGTACATAGAGGCACAAAGATGACAATGACAATGACCACTTATCCCACAAGTAGAGACAATCGGTGGCTTGGATCCTACCTGGTTCTGTCCTGTGAACTTTACATATTTGCATGATAAATACTAGTTGAATTAAACCCATGTAGAAGTCAGGGGCTGATGAAAATAGAGCTTCTCTCACCACAAACAACTACAAAAAGTCCTGTGAGAGGGCAGCAGGTAAGGGAGGCCCAAAACAAATGAGGATATAGTTGATGTTCTTTTCCTCCCAACGAGATCGTTATTTGCATTCCAGCCTCATTTTCTAAAACTCTTCAGGAAGACTTGAATCAGGAATTCAATTCCGTGTAGAATCCTGACTAACTCATAATTTTAAAACTTCATGCATTTGGGATAATTAGGAAAAAAGTTTTGAATTTCAAAATTCTTTCTTCTAAAGTACAGTTTAATTACTAATTGTATATGGCAACTTGAATTAGCCTAATTAGGATTGTTAGACCTTCTTAAATGATTGGAAATCAAGGCATCAATTATTGGTTACCAGAAAGTCATGATGTGTTTTTTGTTTATCTGTGCAAAAATGTGTCATGACTTTCATGACAACTCAATAGCAGTATTTATATATGGACCTATGCTTTTTGTTTGCTTGTTTTTGTTTGTTTGAGAGGTTTTTGCTATAGGGCACGTGCGCTCACCAGAAAGACAGAGAGAGATACACACACAGAAGGTGAGAAATCACCCCTCAAGGGGAATGGCCACGCCACAATCCCTTCTCCTCCATTCTCCTCTCGGGATCTTGGGCAGGGAAGCACACATGCCTGGTGTGAGTTTAAGCCACCAGGTCCAGACTCGAACTGCAGTCGACTACATGAGAGTCCAGTGACATAGCCATTAGGCCAACTGCTTGGACCTATGCTTTTAATCTGTTAAAACCTATTTGCTTAACCCCAAATCATTAATCATTTTTTAAACTTGGATTATAAATTCTATTATGAAGGCCCAAATTCTGCTATACTATTTCATCATCCCATCCTTGCCCCCACCCCCAGATGTGCACTGAGGGCACTTACCATATCTTGTACATTCAAGTGTCAAACAGAATGTCTCCTGCAATTGCGACGAACGCATATTGAGTGCTGGAAATGAACACAACAAAGCACTGGAGACACAGAGATGAACAAGATTGGCCAATAACTTGGTTATGTCATAGAACTAACAGCAGGGTGCTGGTGGAGACAGAACATAATATGTAACCTAATAAAAATTGTTCGGAGAGTGATCAATGGATGAAGAAAATAAAACAAGGTATAAGAGCGAGAATGATGGGGTGGGAGTAATTTACAGAATCAGCTACGTTAAGACCTAGATGCAATGGGAAGAACCAAACAAATCCACCTGAAGCCATTAGCATACACTTAGGAACTAGGAGGTGGTGACCCTGAGAGCTTATCAGTCAGAGAAGGGAAAGCTGCTTCTTGTCTGGGGAAGGCAGTTGGGAAAGATTTAGGGTCGGAGTGGGGAGAGGAGCTAATAGTCACCTCTACCTCCCTTGAATCTTAGTGAGATCTTCAGCTGGATCTGGGAACCAACCTGGCACAAGGCAGATTTGTGAGGGAAAAAGCATACACATTCTATCAGTTTTACATGTACACAGGGATCGCTACTAGAGTCTGAAATCCAAAGAGGTGGTCAAAGCGAGATGCTGTTATACTTTTTAGACAGAGTGACACTTGCATGAAGAAATGACAGGATAAGAGGATATCCGGACAAGGGCAGTAAACTCTAGAGAAGTCACTGGAAGACATGTGGAAGAGTGTAAAGCTAGGAGAAGATAAGGGTGACTTTAGTGAATCTATTTATCTGGGTTCATTGCAGCCCGATCACTGGTCATCTGGTGATAAAGATGATTTTAACCTCTGGGTTTAGGAAGACTTCTCTCCCAGAGGAATCTTTATGGCTTACTGTGCATAGGAAAAGATGAACCGAATGGCTTTTTGTGCAGCTACAACTCCTGCGATGATTTTCATCTTGAAATAATCAAAATGGCAATTTGGCATGTTTTGAGATTATACATTCATCACTCCAACAAAAGAAAGAAGAACAGAGGAGGCATTTAAATATTTTGCAGGCAGCAGAGAGGTGAGATAAGCAAGAGGAGGTAGGCACAAAATTTGCGGAGACACTCTCTGTCAGGTCATGCAAGTGCAGAGTTGGCACCCAAGAGTGTACTCTTCCTAAACTTTCTGCTTTACTTGTCCCATAGTGCTGGCTCTGAGGATTGGCATGAAGTAGCCTGGTCAGGAGATAGCAAGTGGGCCAGCCAGTGGTGTGGGGGCTAGGCAGCTGGAGCCATGGTTTGAGTCTCAGACCTGGTGGCTTGAAAATGATGCCAGCTGCTTGAGTGTGCGTGCCCAAAGCCCTGAGAGGAGAATGGAGAGGAGATTGCAGCATGACTGTCCCTCCTGGGGAGTGATTTTTCACTCCTCCCCCACCCCGTTTCTGTCTGTCTCTCTTTGGCAAGCACACATGCCCTATAGTAAAAACTGGAAGGAGGAAAAAAATGTAAAAAGATAGCAAGGAGGCCCTCCTTCCAGGAGAAGAGCAGCTCTGACGTCCAGCAGCTAGCCTGGTGCTATCAGTAGGCCTTGCCGCGGCTCTGAGCTGATCTGAAACTGACAGCTGGACTTCAGTATTCTCTAACGAAGGAAAACAATTTCACAGAACATTAGCATCAGACGAGGCCACTGTGACCATGATGGATCAAGATTAAAAACAAAGACCACTCAGCAATCTTGTTTGAATACAGACAAAATATGGGCCTTACCCAAACCACAAACACCAAACATCCTCTCCCCCAACTGCTATGAGTGACAGCTGCTTCTCGAGAATACCATTGCAGCATTGGCCTCTCTGTAGCCTACCCTCCCTGTGAAAATATTTATTAAGATATGAACCATAGAATCACCCCAGCTTCCTGACAGCATCCAGTTCAGAACAAAGCCCTGCTTCCCTGAATCAGCAACCCAAATCAACAGACGCAAGTCCTATAGTAAGTCCTTTCTAACACCTTCTTACTGGAACACTGTGGCTCCGTTATGTGTGTTCTCCCTCACTGTGAGTAATAAATAAATTCAGCATGAATGGGGGAGGGGGTCCCTAGTAGTCTTCGGCTGGAGAGCATTGGCAGAGGCGAGAATTTGCTCTGCTGAGGGATGGAGAGAAATGGGATAGAATGGTAGAACTGTTTCCCTCTATGGGGTTGAGTGTATAGGTGGGCTCAGTTTTGAAAGCTAGGCTGAGGCCGAAGGAAATGTCTTGTCCACCAGTTGGGATCAAAGATACTAGAGTGGAAATCTTGGTTTTGGAAACAATCTGACTGCGTGCACAGTTAATGTGGGGGTGAGTGTGGGTGGCCTGGGCTGCTGGCTGTTTTTTTACAGATAAGAAAACTGAAGTAGCAGCTAAGCCATTGCCCAAGATTTGCATATTGACTAAGACAGGGCTTCCAGCTCATTTTTAATGCCGTAGCTTCCTGCTGCCTCACTTCTCACCCTGGCCTTCACCAGGTGTTATCCTACGTGAAAAATGAAATCCTTTATTAGATTTTAAAACAATCCTCTAGGACTGGCTCTGAAGCTCAGTGGGATTGTGCTGCTCAAGAGAAGCTAACAAGGTTTGAATCCCTGGCCCGGTGAGCCGGAAACATGCCAAGCACACCTGATCCAATGGGCTGGAGAATTGGAGCAAGGGGGTTACAGCATGATCCTGTGGAGAGTGATCATCTCGTTCCTGCTCTCACATGCGCGTATACACACTACCATGCCTAAAGAGTAATTTAAAAGTATCTACTATAAGGGAGCCAGCAGGTGGTGTGGTGGTTGAAGTGCTGGCTTCCCACATGGCTGACTGCAGTGCGAGTCCCAGACCTGGCACTTGCTTTCTCACTTTGCCTCTCCCTCTGGTGAGCACACGTGCCCTATAACAAATTATAATAATAATAAGTAAAATTAAATAAATAATTGTTTTTTAAAAATCAACTAATATAAAAATTCTAGCAAGGAATTTAGTAAGTAAAACAATTCACTCTCTACCCTTGAACTAAGTTGTAGTATCCACTAAACCAGCAGAGAAGAAAATATCTTTGCTCTGGGCGCATGTGCGTGCGTGCCCAAGATCCCGAGAGGAGAACGGAGGAGCAGGGATTGAGGTGTGGCCATCCCCCTTGGGGGATGATTTCTCGCTTTCTGTCTCTCTGTCTCTGTCTGTCTGGCGAGCGCACACAGCCTATAGCAAAAACCTCTCCAAAACAAAACAAAACAAAACAAAATATCTTTGCTGACTGCTTGGTGTTTGCTCTTATTTTTCAGGGATATGAACCCCTCTGTCTTCCACAACTCCCCAAAGGTCACAGAGCAAGCTCCTGGACTCAGTTCAAACCTGAGTCCCATTGCATTTCTGATTTAGTGATGGTGGATAGCTGGAGAGGTCCAGAGGAAAGGATGGCTAAGAAAGCCTGATTCCTGCT